TGGACTGCTGTGTCCAGGTAGTAGGGGCATACGTGCGCGCGTGGGTGTGTAGGCTACCCCCCCCCCCCCAAGGACGACCATCCATACGTCAGAATGATACACTATGGACAAGAATTTGTCACACCAAGCACTTGTTTATATATATCCTTGGCACAAATAACCACTATTTATATGGTCTCACTGGTGTAATATCAGTTATATATACTACTACTACTACTTTGCTGTCACTCGGAATCGAGTATGACGATCATCCAGCTATGATACAATGATATGAGTTATTAGGGATGTCACCTAGGCGAGTGAATTCTGAGGTGACTAAAGAGGCTGATATGGGACCCGCAGCGTCGTCCACATTTATTGCACATGTTGTTACGCCGTCTCTTAATTTACTTTAATATCCAGGTTCTAGGCGCACCCATAAAAAACAAGTGAAGTAAATCAAAAGGGAATAAAAATAATTAAAGTAAACCTTTACGAATTTAATTAAATTAAATATTAACACAATAAAGAGCCTCGAAGGCTGTCACAACAAATTGATTCATTATCGAAACTTTTAAGACACAAATGATACTAAAAATCGGAACATCAAAAGAACGGCTTAAACATATAAAATAAAAATAAAGCGCTGGATTACGTTAACACTACATAAACATATAAAATATCTAACACTGAAATTAACTAACGTGAAACAACAGTGAATTACTTAAATGTAACTAAGCAAGCACTGATGGACACATAAGAGACATAAATAGGTACTCACATAGATATACCACACTGGTGGCGACAGGAACAACACAAATAAAATAAGTATAAGTAACAGGTGACAGGTGTCACTCAAAAGAACGTGAACTGAATGACGAGAGGACTGGACTGAACTCTGTCTACAGGTGGAGTACTATATATAGGGTCGTTTCCCGCCAATGAGACCAGCCTGTGAAACATGGGTCGTTTAACGATGCAGATGGTCGTTAGAGAAACAAAGAATGCTTGTTACAATACTAAATGAAGAAATAAGATGGGCTTGAACAAATAATAACAGTTAAAATCTTAACAGCACAGGGTAAGGTGACTAGATTATATAATAGTAAATATAACACATCATTACAGGAATAATATGGAACATGGAAGCATGTTATATAAAAAAATTAGAAAAATAGGACAAGGTCGTCATAAAGTAGAAGGCTCCATCTACTGTGGGAGAGGCGGTGGCAGAGTCTTTGCGACGCTGGCGTTTGTCTGCCTCGGTTTGCAGTCGGGCTAACTCGAAAGTATTGAAACCTCGTGTGGTGCTCCCCCAAGCGTCACGATGTGGAGTAATCGACTATCAGGTGAGGGGGTCGATTTGGCACCTTTTCAGGTTTGTCTTAAGACTATCCCTGCCTTTTCAATTGCCCGCCGGCGTTAGGCGACTGTAAAGTACCTGCTTTGGCAGTGTACTGTCGTCCATGCGGGTAACATGGCCAGTCCAACATAGTTTTTCAATGATAATAGTAGCCTCGAAGCTCCTACATTTGGTGTCAGCAAGAATACTGGCATTTGTTCTCTTGTCTTTCCAGCGAAATCGGAGGATGGAACGTAGACTACGTTGGTGAAAGTTTTCAAGTGCCCTGAGGTACCTCCTGTATGTGATCCATGTCTCAAACTGCCATATAATAGGGTGGGCAGGATCACTGCTCGATATACGTGCAGCTTTGTGGATAATTTCATCTCCCTTCAGCTGAAGACACGATTTCGGAGTCCGGCAAAGGCTTGACATGCATCATCTGATCCGATGCTGAATCTCTGCTGTGGTGGACAGGCGGGAGCCGTTATACCGAAAGTGGGCAACATTACAGAGGGTAGTACCGTTAAGCTGGATGGATGGTGGATGTGTGTCTGAACCAGGGGCAGGTTGAAAGAGAATCTGAGTCTTACGTTCATTCACCTCTTGGTGTTCAGGACCTCCTGTTGGTCGTATTCAGTGTGAGCAACGAGGGTGAGGTCGTCTGCATACTGAAATTCAGTAATGGAAGCTGTCGACACCTTTGTTCCTGCCTGGAATCGTCTTATGTTGAAAAGAACCCCCTTCACCCGGTACTCGAAGTTCACCCCAATGGCTAAATTGGCACTGGCACGAGTAAGGAACGCAGACAAGAAGATGAAAATGAGAGTTGGTGCCAGTACACACCCTTGATTAACCCCTGTTTGGATGGGGAAGAACTCTGACTGGGTGCCATTGTGCAGGACACAGCCGTTCATGCCATCGTGGAGTTGCATCACAATGGCGATGAATTTTGGTGGGCAGCCAAAACGTCTGAGGGCCCACCAGATGGCTTCCCTGTTGTTGACCGAGTCGAAGGCCATAGTTAGGTCGATGAAAGTCATGTACAGGTCACGGCGCTGTTCTCTGCACTTTTTCCTGTATCTAGCGGGCAACAAAGATCATGTCAATGGTGCCACGTGATGGTCTAAAACCACATTGAGATTCTGGGAGGAAGTTTTCCGCCTCAGGAAAAAGTCTGTTTAGAAGGACTCGGGCGATAATCTTGCCAGCTACGGAGAGCAGCGAGATTCCGCGGTAATTGCCACAGTCTCATCGGTCTCCCTTGTTCTTATAAATATTGACAATGATAGCGTCTTTAAGAGCTTGGGGGATTACCTCCATTTTCCATATATTCTCCAGGAGAGAGTGGAGACAGCTGGTAAGCAGAGGTCCTCCTGCTTTATTCACCTCGGCTATGGGTTCCATCAGGCCCTGAGGCTTTGTTATTTTTTATCTGTTTGATGGCAGTCGCTACCTCATCCAGGGATGGAGGATAGCTGAGGTGGGTCAGCTCTGGATGCTGAGGGACCTGCTGGGTAGTCAGGACATCCACATCGGTGTTTCGGTTGAGCAATGAATGGTAGCGGTCTTTCCAGCGCTGAAAGAGGCCTTCGTAGTCTTTAATTATGTAGTTACAGTCAGATGAGTAGAGGGGGACTTCGCCACGAGTGACTGGCCCATAAAATGTTTTAGTGGATATGAAAAATTCGCGCATCTTGTGCTGATCTGCAAGTTTTTGTGCTTCACATGCTTTAAACACACACAAAAAAATAATAAAAAAAAGATAAAATCAAATTCGTTTTACTTTACACTGTAGGAATAATAAAACCCAAAATAGTACCAAGATGAGCCACAACACAACAGGTTTACAATAAAAAAGAAATGAGAAATATATTAGGAGCTTTATGTAACCCATGTTAACATTGGAGCTTGCCAGAAGCTACTCATTAAGCAATATTGGGTTTGTGGTAATAAATGAACTAACACCAGATTAGTAATAACTTTGCTTGAGGGCAAAGGAAAATATTCACACAAGCGCTGGTGACTGGTTTAGAGTCATGTTGCCTGACAGTTGATGTGGTTTTAAGTACAGTGCGTTCTATGAAAGGAGACACGTGATTGTGGAGGCAGGATTTGAGCTGCCTCTCAGTTTTACGCATTTCATATATCACACGTGCCATTGTATAGTAATTGTAATTCTACGGACTTAAGAATCAATATACTTGAAAAGTGAATTTTATCCTACTTGTTTTGATGTTTAGTTGTTTACCAATTTAGGAAAAACAATAAAGAATAGAGTAATTGTAGACAGTATGAAACTAAACACAAATTTAGACAAATATTTTGAGGGAGGAAGAAAGATTCGGTAACTTACACAAAGGTTAACTATGCAGCAAGGACGTTACGTTCAAATTGGGCGTTGCTTGATAAAATATAGAGAGAAATGTGTTTTTACTTCTATACTATTGTTGGAGAAGAGTTTGGCTGTGATTTTGACGTCGAACTGCCAATAAAGAATGTTGGCCATGTAGCCTGGCATTGGTCAACCCTTCTTTGGTAACATTTTTGGGCATTAAACCCAAGATAACCTGGAATTTATCACACACAAAAGGGAAAAAAATATTGAGTAATATATTGGCATACAAATTACTGGAATAATATTCTTCTATTTAAGGAAAAACTGTAATAATTGATAGTCACATTTTACGTTTAATAATTAAAAAAAAATAACAGTAACAAAATTAAGCTTAACCAAAAGAACGAAATTAACTACCTATCTTCTTCTGCTCCATCTTTCTGTGATGAGGTAATGGGTCCATCACCTTGCAGCCAGAAGGACGATCCCACAGTTATGGTGAAAAATATCTGGAGGAGAGGGGGAGTAAAAATTACTTAAATATAATAGTATTTTGGTAATTTTTCGTAACTTTCATATAGCGGACGTCATAGTCCATCCATATACATCCTTATAGCATATTTAGAAGTAAGAATAAATGTTAATACATGATATTAGTGCACTTACCTGGATCTACAGGCAGTCATTGTATAGAACACACACAGAGTTAACCGTTTTGACATTCGACTACAATCAGTTAGTGAGTACTTTGGATCGGAGGTGTTAGCTGCTCATTTGGTTTCATTGTAAAATAAGATTATCTCAGGCTTCCCATTGTCAGCAACACCAGGCTGTTCGTGCATTTTAGAAAGGAACATGAAGTCTGTTAAAAATGTCACCAAAAAGGTAACCTGGAGTTTGACAAACCCCAATGCCCTTACAGTATAGGATGAAATCAGAACCATGTAGAGGAGTGCCTCTACCACCTACCACAATCATTCATAAAGTCGGGAAGGTAGAAGGGAGGACATATGCCTAAGGCTTAGGGAAGTATATGGATTACATAACGTTTAGGGGACTGGGGTCTGTCAGATCCCAGGTTACCTAAGAAGTGTATATTAAAGATATTTTACGTGATGATTAAGAGTATAATCATGATATTGCTGATTATAGTACACTAGTTTATACTGCCAAATGAAGAGGCGAGACATAGTAAAAGAGAAAAGAGAAAAACACATAGTCGTTCATCAATAATCCTCTGTATTATCAACCATAATTTGAATGAAACTTCTAGCAATGGATTGCAATATAAACTGTCGATAACTGAGCTCTAATTAATTTGTGAATATGTCCACACTCAAGGTAGGAAGTGAAAAATGGAGAAAATTGCTGCAGTTTTGTGGTGCGTCGTGGTGGCTGGAATGTTCCGTATTGGTACTTCTCAGATGCTTCTTCCCTCAGGTCAGTACCTCTTATGAAATAAAACAAATTTTATTCTTTACCCTCCCGGCATGACCGGTGATTATAAATATATATATATATATATATATATATATATAATCAACACCTCAACCCGCCAGGATTCGAACCCACGGCCCACTAGCCCTTGACTGTGACCGGGAACGCTAACCGCTGGACCACCAGGATACTAAAAGCAGTCCTAGACTTTGGTAAAACGTTACTCTGACCACCTACGTGATATGGGTAGTCCCCATTAGAGGTTCACGGCGCCATAAGCTCGTTGAACAGGCTTTGTGTGAAATATAACAAAGTCTAGGACTCTTAGTATCCTGGTGGTCCAGCGGTTAGCGTTCCCCGGTCACAGTCATGGGCTAGTGGGCCGTGGGTTCGAATCCTAGCGGGTTGAAGTGTTGATTGTATGTAGAAGTCCGCGTGCTATTGGGCTGATGAAATATATATATATATATATATATATATATATATATATATATATATATATATATGCAAGTAAATCACTGTAGGTGCGCGTGAGGAGAAATACATAACAAGGCATATATATATATACAGTAGAGGAGAGTAAGATCAAGTCCCTAGGAGACAGTGAGTGTCCACAATGGTCCGGTCACTAGGCAGTGACCTTACTAATCTTCATAAGCACAGCAGCAGTCCGTTGTCAGGTCAGAGGGTAAGATGACCCAACCTTCTCACCTGGTTACAAATCTTCTTAATTACGAAATTATCCAGTTTGTACATACCATTACTCAAATTCATGTTGACGGATTCGTTATGTTTAATGAGACTGAATTCTATAATGTTCCTACTGTCAATTGAATTACAAGGTAATATTGAGGAGACATTATCCCAGTCAATGCAATAAGAACATAAGAACATAAGAAAATAAGGGGTCTGCAATAGGCCGGTTGGCCTGTGCATGGCAGCTCCTGTCGAGAGTTACTACCACTCTCTATCATCCATGAATCTATCTAGCCGCCTTTTAAAATTTTCCAGCGTTCCAGCACTTATTACAAAATTGCTAAGCTTCTTCCACTCGTCCACCACCCTATTTGTGAATGAGTTCCTTCCTATCTCCCTCCTAAACTTAAATTTATCCAACTTAAATCCGTTGCTCCGAGTCCTATCCTGCTCGGATATTATAAGAACTTTATCTATATCCCCTTTATTGATTCCTTTCACCCACTTAAATATTTCTGTCATATCTCCCCGCACTCTTCGTCTTTCTAGGGAATGCAAGTTTAGTTTCTTTAACCTATCTTGATATGGAAGGTTTCTAAGTCCCGGAATCATTTTCGTCATTCTTCGCTGCAACGACTCCAATGAATTGATATCCATTCTATAATAAGGGCACCAGAACTGAACCGCATAATTAGGGTGCGGCCTGACTAGTGCAAGACATAGTTGCAAGAAGACCTCTGCACTCTTATTACTTACACTTCTAGATATAAAACCCAATCCTCTGTTTGCCTTATTTCGAACATTAACGCACTGTTTTCTAGGCCGTAGGTCCGGGCTTACAAATACCCCTAAGTCTTTTTCACAAGTCGACTTCTCTAGGTTGATGTTGTTAAGGCTGTATACATTGACAGTATTTGTTCTTCCAATATTAAGTACGCTGCACTTGCTGGTGTTGAATTTCATTTGCCATTTTTCAGACCAACCCTGCAGTTTATTTAAATCCTCCTGTAGTGCATTTGCATCCTGCCCTGAATTAATCTGCCGCCCTATTTTGGTGTCATCCACAAACTTGCTAATGTCACTGCTGATCCCAGCAGATAAGTTAGTCCCTAAGAGTAAAGAAACATTTTTAAGGACATAAAATGTAAAGGTGCTCATTAAAATCATGAAATTTTAATTTGTATTGGTATATCATATCTTTAGAAAAAAAAAAATTTAAAAGGTTGTTTAAAAAAAAATGAATAGGCATGGGCAGACACGCCTTCCATGAGAAGAAAAAAGTATGTGATAACAAGGAGATTCCAGTGTTGTAGGATGAGGGCGAGGCAGAAGCAGATTTAATTTACTTGAACTAGGTATTCTACATTAATTTTCAGAGCTTTTGAACATAATACTGAGTCACGACTTATTTGTGACTCGACAAAAATTTACATGTGGACACCTCTGGTAATATGACACAAATAAATATGACCAATTTTATTATCTCCCATTATATATGAACTTCAACTCTTTGTGGCATCCTCATCGCCAAAGCCTGAAATAATTACTTACAGTAGATTAATCATAAATGGAATTAAATTTTGTTAGTAAAACTGTTAAACTAACTAATATGTAAATAAGTGATTTTATATTTATATTCCATTATTCCACAGCGGAGCGAGAGGTTCTCTCAGGTCTGGGCCAGGCAGTGGCGGCTATCCTGGAGGGCATTCCAGATTCAAAATGCATTCCTATATTCTTCATAGATGGCACTACCTCTCATGTCACCGTTATGAAGGTGTTAAGAATATTCTGTAATGTTTATGGAGGGAATTTCTTTCATATAAGACTGTTTATAATTGAAATAATACAGTCAATGTCAATCTAATATCCTAATTTTCTTGAACAGGAACTAGGTCAGAGTACGCGGAACCCCTGGGGTGTGGGGGTGTTCGAGGTGGCAGTGGACGGCCAGGATGCTAACGTGACACAGGCGCAGCTCTCCCGGGTGGTCGACGAGGCTCGGCGGGTAGGTCACTCTCAAATTACTACCTAGCAGGGTAGATCACTCTCATATAAATACTGAGGCGGGTAGGTCACTCTCTTATGACTACTGAGGCGGGAAGGTCACCCTCATATTACTACTGAGGTGGGTAGGTTATCTCACTCACACTTGTGTTCTGACCTCACTAGGGGAAAGGTCACGGCAGTGTTAGCTCCCGAGGGATAATTATCAGATATAGCCAGTGCTATGTGTGGTCTGGGGTGTACGAGTTTGTTGGCCAAGTTGGAGAGGGCCAAGGAAGAATTGGAGAGGGCAAAGGAAGAATTAGAGAGGGACACGTTGGAGAACCTGAAATTAAAGGAAGAGATGGCGAGGATGAAGGAAGAAGCGGGACAAGGAAAGCCAGTGTCTGACGAAAACTCAGGCGAGTGGAAGGTTGTGAGGAGAGGGAAGACCAAACTGGTGATGAAAAAACACACCAAGGATACGGCAACAGCGATATCAACAGCTAAGTATACCAACTCGTTTAGTCCCTTGATAGACGAAATGGACGTTAGTACAGTCAGGGACAGGGCTGACAAGGAAGGTATAAAAACTTTAATTGTTGGTGACTTACAAGTAAGGTACTTGGACAGACCCTTTTGTGGTAAAAATAAAAATAGGATGAGGGTGTGTTTGCCAGGGGCTGGGGTGGGGGATATAGTTGACAGGATGGACAATATCTTGTTTGGTAATGGGAACAAACCCATTATCTACCTCAGTGCAGGAGGCAATGATATTGGCCGGTGTAGGAATGAAGAGCTTCTTGATAAGTTCAAGACAGCTATAGATCGTATTAGGACTAAGGGAGGGATCCCTATCAAATGTTGTGTCTTGCCTAGAACGAGAGTTAGCAATGAATGGTTGTCAAGGACAGTTGGTGTCAACTGCCGTCTTGACGGATATTGCAAGTCAGTATCAGTCCCATTCATTGACAACTGGGACAACTTCTACGGCAGAAGGGACCTTTATGCTAGGGATGGGGTGCACCTGTCTCGGGATAGGGTGGCAACCCTGGCCGGGTCTCTAGAGGGGGCAGTTCAAAAGATATTGAAGTCTTTATTCTACTTGGGGAACATATGGGCACGGGGGTGGAGGAGACTACCGTGGGAGCGGGTAAACAAAGTAAAAGGTTACAGGGAAATAGTGTTAGGAAAGATGACAAAGCTGAATTAGATAGCGATTTAAGACCTAAACGCGGTAAAGGGAGGACTCAGAACACGACTAAGCTAAATGTTTACTATGCGAACAGTAGAAGTATGAGAAACAAAAGGAATGATATTAGGGCCTGTCGAATACCAAATTGCGGATTACAAATTGTTCCATACAGATAGGCCATCCAGGAAAGGAGGCGGAGTAGCAATCTATATCGGGGATAACCTGAAGTGTGAAATAAATAAGGAAATAAAAACTGAGCGGAATACAGAAACAATTTGGATAGAATTAATCGACGGTAGGGAAAAATTAATCATAGGAGTAATATATAGACCTCCCAATCTTGATAGAGTTAATGAGCGACTTATCTGGGATGAAATGCGCAGGGCTTCCATACACAACAAAGTCTGTATAGTAGGCGACTTTAACCTTGGCCAAATAGATTGCACTGACCTTACGGGTAACTCAGAATCAGAGGATTTCCTCGAAACGACCCAGGACTGTTTCCTAAGTCAACACATAACCGAACCCACCCTGGGTAATACTATACTCGATTTAGTTCTGTCGAACAGAGAAAACCTCATTAGCAATGTCGAAGTAGGGACGAACTTGCAAACAGCGATCACAAAGAAATTAGATTCCAGTTAGATTTTCAGGTCAGACGTAAGGAAAATTCCATTAAAGTCCCTGATTTCAGAAGGGCAAACTTTGACAGTTTAAAGAGCCAGCTGAGAGAGGGGGTGTTGCGCTTGGGCGTGAACCTGACAGATGACACCGACCTGATAACGAGATCTGAGATTGCCGAGTTCCACGACAATTTATATAATGAGTTACTTAATGCACAAAGGCAGAACATACCATACAAAAAACTCAGATCAGACAACAATGAACCTAAATGGATAAATAATTATTTAAAGAACATTATTGGCCAAAGGAAGGCTATAGGTAGAAGGGTAAATCGAGGTGAAATTTACCTCCGGGAGTATTATAAGGCATTGGCCTGTAGGGTTAAGACCGAGATTAGAAAAGCAAAGAGAAATAATGAACTGAAGATAGCAAGGGAGGCGAAGACAAACCCCAAAGGATTCTACCAAATGTATCAAACTAAAACACGAAATAAGATTGGACCAATATGTTCAGATACCGGCGAGCGAACTGATAACGACGGAGAAATGAGCAATAATCTGAATAAATATTTTTCAACAGTTTTCACCACCGAAAATTTAAATATGATACCCGAGGCACCAACTCTATTCAGAGATAGTGAAGAAAACAAATTAAGCGAGATAGTAATGACTAGTAATGATGTTAATAAGCAAATAGGCAAACTGAAGCCTTTTAAGTCACCTGGTCCCGATGAGATATTTGCCAGAGTATTAAAGGAATGTAAAGAAGAGTTTAGTATGCCCTTAGCTAAGTTGTTTAACATGTCATTAAAAACAGATGCAGTACCAGAATCCTGGAGGAAAGGGAATGTAATACCGATTTTCAAGAAGGGGGATAGATCACTATCCTCTAACTACCGCCCAATCAGTCTAACATCAATAGTAGGCAAATTACTAGAATCAATCATTTCAAACTCTATTTGAAACCACCTAGAGAAGCACAAGTTGATCAATGATTCCCAACATGGCTTCACAAGCGGGCGTTCATGTCTAACTAATTTATTAACATTCTTTTCATCAGTTTTCGAATCGGTGGACGAGGGGCACATTTATGATGTGGCATATCTCGACTTTAGCAAAGCCTTCGACAGAGTCCCCCACGAAAGACTAATTAGAAAGGTAGAAGCGCATGGCATCAAAGGTAATATCCTTAAATGGATTAGGGTGTGGTTACGGGACCGGAAACAGCGAGTGAGCATAAATCTCATTGGAGCAACATCACTAGTGGAGTTCCCCAAGACTCAGTACTTGGACCATTGTTATTTATTATATACATAAACGACATAGATATCGGCATAGACAGCATTATAAGTAAATTTGCTGATGAAGCTAAAATAGGAGGTGTAATTAAATCTGATGAGGACTCGGCAAAACTAAAGGAAGATCTAAACAAATTTTTCGAATGGTCGGAGAAATGGCAGATGAAATTCAATGTGGACAAATGTAAAGTACTCAGTATAGGAGATGCTAACAGGGAAACCAGTTACCAGATGAACAACGATGCCATTGTGGAATCCGACTGCGAGAGTGATTTAGGAGTAATGATAAGTAGGAATCTTAAGCCAAGTAAACAATGTGTTTTTGCTCGTAACACCGGCTCGTACTACCGGCTCCTACTACCACCTGAGATCCCCAGCCCGAGTATTGCTGTTCGACACCACAACCGCATCAAGCCCATATGTGCACGAACTGATCGCAATAATTACAGCCAGGTCCCAATCATTGTAAAAATTATCAATAACTTGTAATAAACCAGTGAATTCACTCCCAGTAAATACTACTTCTTGCACTGTCACAGTGTTAAAATGCCCTGTAGTTTGAGCTTTTCCCCATCTAATTATTATATATCTTATTTGTATCACTTATGTTATTTGTATATTATTTGTAATTCGAAACCCATTCCCCAATTATGTTACTGTATATTTTCAGCCTTCTGGCGGCCAAGCTCTTTCAATAAACCGTTAATTATTATTAGTATTATTATGATTATTATTAGTTACAAGACTAGCGAGGTCATCTTAAAATTATATTTAGCTCTTGTGAGACCTCACCTGGATTACGCAGTTCAGTTCTGGTCACAGTATTACAGAATGGATATAGAATCCTTGGAAGGAATCCAGAGGAGAATGACAAGACTAATCCCGGGCATCAGGAACCTTGAGTACAGAGACAGGTTAAAGCATCTTAATTTGCACTCCCTCGAGAGACGTAGAGTGAGGGGCGACATGATAAAGGTGTATAAATGGAAGTCAGGGTTAAACAAGGGGGACATTACAAAGGTACTCAAACTATCCATACAGGAGTGAACTCGTAACAATGGTTTTAAATTAGACAAATTTATATTTCGGTGTGAAATAGGTAAACACTGGTTTGGAAGCAGAGTAGTTGATGAATGGAACAAGTTACCAAATATCATCATTAACTCGAATACGCTGGATAGCTTTAAACATAGGTTAGATGCTTATATGAGCAATAGGGGTTGTGTGTAAACGGGACTGCCCAGTATGGGTCAATAGGCCCGCTGCAGTTTCCTCCATTCTTATGTTCTTATGTTCTTATGATAGGTCACTCATATAACTACTAAGGCGGTTAGGTCATTCACATTACTACATCCCTCCCACATAACTAGGGACTCAAAGTAATATCACATTACAACAAAGGCTGATAGACTTTTTCCTCGTTAGAACTCAGATTCCCACGTCATAGTGTCTCTATTATGGTGTTCTTCCCAGCTGCGGCGGCTGTCATGGTGCGTGATGGTAGTAGTGGCGAGCAACGACCCAACCTTCCTCACCGCCTACGCTCAGAAGTCCCTTAAGGGTCGCCTCTTAGTTTGGGAGACAAGGCAACTGCTCGTTACCAGCTACACATCACGAGAGCTAAGAGCTGCGTTGACTTCTCACTGGACCTTTTCCATGACTAACACGATGCTGATGAATGTCGAATATGGGTTCCATATGTTAAGGTAAAGCAGTACAGTAAGAATTACACATTTACAAATATTTTCCAATGAAGAGAAACTCAACAAAGATTATTCGGCTTCTTTCTTATCTCTCTCATAAGAAAGTGTACTGTGGGCTTGTGTATTTTATTAGCACAGACAGGATTGCATATTCGAGAGAAAAGTGAAAGTTGAAAAAGTTTGCCAAATTGTAAAATCTGTATACAGTATTGCTTATACTTAATGTTTCCTTGTATAAGCGTAACGTCAAGAAGCTTGCAGTTTGATCGACGAAATATTTATAAATTTGATAGTCAAACCTAACTTATTGGCGAGAGTTCATACTAAATATGACTTCACATTTGGAAATCAGATAAAGCACACTTAGAATATGAGACTTTTTTCTCCACCTCTTCTGCAGGTGTGGGGTGTACGTGTACCTTCCTTACAGCCCAAGAGGAGCCAAGGTGGTGGAGGTAGCATACTGGACCTTCCCTCAAGGCCTCGTCTATATTGCCTCCTTACCACTCTTTCCCGAGAAGTTTTCCAAGTAGAATACAATTATGTTCAACATTTTTTTTACATTATTTTATAAATTAAAGACATTTTGATATTTATTTATATTGAAAATTTATTTCAATTCCCGATATCCTATCCTAATACATCTGTCGTTCTAGCGCCATACATGCAATAATTTAAAAAAAATTTACTGTGTGATGTTAAAGTTATGAAAAATTTACAAATTCGATAAACTGTGCTGCCTTGAGCTATTTTAAGCCTGTGTTCACCAGTTTTTACGGTAGTACGGTGAACGTCACTGCTCTGCCGTACGCTCCTTACTGGATGACTTCCGGTGAAGGCAACAACACCAAGCACTACGGGATTGACTACAACCAGATCACAACTTTAGCACAAGCCCTGAACTTCAAATTCTTTGTTTTGCCATCAGCGAACTGGGATGAGGTGAGGCGCCCTTCTTGTTATGGGCTCTTTCTGCTTACAAAGTTGCATCCAGTCACACCATAATTTCCCAAGAAATTTAAGTAACTGTGGAGTTAAGGAAATGTAGACGGAATCGGTGAAAGGGTTTTGAAGCTTGATATAACCTCTCAGGATAATTTAATCAAGGATCATTGGAAAATGGGTGAAACACGGTTATATTCACATCGCTCTTCAGAAGACACACTGCCATGTATACTTTGCCTACTCTCAATGCGAGTACCGTCCTCATGTGTAGGGGTTGGCTACCACAGTCCTCCACTCTAAACGTTCTCGAGCTGGTTTTACCAATTCTCTACGGTTTTGTATATCTCTGGGGACCCAGTTATTAATTTCATTCATCCATCCCAGTCTCTGCCTTTCCCTTTGCTTTCCTACCTTCAACTTTGCCCATTAATATTTTTTGTTGTTATCCCGCATCCCTAATTATATGACACAAGACTCTCAATTTTTTTCTGTATATTTCAAGTATTCTTCCTGAAGTTTTTACTAATATTAGTACATCTTCATTTGTTTTTCTTTCAGTGTAGCTTATTCTTAGCATTCGCCTATAAAACCACATTTCAAAGGCCTCCAACCTCTTTCTGGTGTCTGCTGAAAACGTTTACGCTTCTGACCCATACGTCAGTCGATGCCATATGAAGCCTTTCAGCAGCCTTTTTTCTCAAATTGAAGTTGATATCCCCTTTCATTATGACTTTTGGATCATTAAATTCTGTTTGTGCTTGCCCTTTTTTAATTTCTTCCACACATCTACCATCATAGCTAATATTACTTTCAAAATACTAAAAATTTCCACTTATTTAAGTTCCCCGTTGACTTATAATTTAAAACTTTTAAACCATATTTTTCACATTTTCCACTAATCTGTTAACTATTTTTTGTATTGCTTCTTCACTATCTGTGAGAGCAGTAGTTTACCATATGCATAACGTATATTTGTTATTATCTTACCGTTAACTTTTAGTCCTTCATTATCACTTGTATATTCTCTCTTTAAGATCCCTGAATATATTTTATACAATGTTGGTGATAGAACACAGCCTTGTCTTACTCCCTGTCTAACTATGAACCAATTAGTATGCTCATTATTGACTTACACTGCAGTCGTCTGTTGCCAGTAAAGATTCCTTAAAATTCTAATACCTCCCTCATTAATGCCATTTTTTTTAAATCAACAAAGCAGATGTACAAATTTCTTTGGACCTCTCTAGACCTTTCACTCAAAATTCTCATACAAAATATAGCTTCTCTAGTTCCTTTTCCTTTTCTAGATCCATATTTCTGTTCAAAAACAGCCTCTCTATTCTAAATTTTATTCTACATAAAAATATGTTTAATAAAATTTTACAGCCATAACTTTTTAAACTTATTGTTTTAAACTGGGTGCACTATATGGCTCCTGGCTTTTTAGGTAATTATGCAAATGTTGATTTTTTTTAAATCACTGGGAAGGTCTCCTTTGAAGTCTATAGAATTACATATTTTAATCAAACATTTCATCTCATCCTTGCCCATTTGTTTTGTAAATTCTGCTGGAAGCTGATCAACCCCACAAGCCTAAACAGCTGCCCCAACTTGTGTTTCCAGAATTTCCATTCCGACCTATATTTTATTTTCATTTCTTACCTACACTCTATCCCTATCATAGTTCTTCTACATACTCTGCCATCTCTGTTTTACTTCTGTCTCAAACTGGATATTATTGTTTTGCTTTTAAAAGTCCCACCCCATTTATTTCCTTTTTGCCAGTTCATTTGTTAAATATTTCTGTACATTTCCCTTTAATTATACAGGATGTAAGGGGGTGCCCAATAAACTAGCCCCCTCGGGGGCAAATCTGAAACCTTTAATTATGTCTTCTGTCATCATCTTTAGTCACCTTGCATTTCCTTTCCAGATAAACTTTCTTGACCTGTCTATATTCCTTTTCAATTATTTTGTTAATTTTTATCTAAATCTCACTTCGTTTCCTCGTATTTCATCGTCAGTCAATTTTCTTTAAAATTGCATTCGTCATCCAATTACATATAGTCTCGTTCCTTCTATAAACTATAAGTTTCCCCAGTCTCTAATAATACTTCTTTGTAACGATTAAATTGTTGTCCTGGTCTTTGCTCATCAAAGTCACCCTCTAGCAAAACTGAAAATCTATTTTCGATTTTAGTTTCATATTCTATCCCTGCCCCTGTTTTGAGTTTGCCTAAATAGCATTTGGTATTGTCCATAATTTTTCTTATTAATTTTAGAAGTTTTAGCCTCACTAAACTCATTACTGGGACGTGATCTCATCAAAAATTTGCCCCTGGAGAGATCTTAGTTCACGTTATTGAATTTATGTATCTTTCCAGAATTAAAATGCAATCTATTTGCTCCCTGACTGTATTGTTTACATTGTCCTGGGGTGAGACCCATGTATAGAGATGCCTTGGGTCTTGTTCAGTCTATTTGCATTTATCATCTTGTGTTCCTTACAAGAGTCAATTAACATTTATCCCCTCTCATTTCTACTACCCAACCCATATCGTCCTATTTCTGCTGTTACTTTCCCTTTCCCTACTTTTGGGTTAAAATCTGCTATAGTAATCAGACTATCATTAAATTTTACGGTGTCTTTTGCTTTCTTTAAATCTTCATAAAATTTTTCTAAGATTTCATCTTCACTACCATTTGTTGGTGCAGAGACCTGTATTATTATCAAGTCCAAGGGGTTTAACATAGTCCAAGGGGTTTAACATTAAACTTGACTAACAAAACTTCATCTGGCACTACAACTCAACTTCTAGTTTACAAGAATACCAACACCTCTCTCATGTATTTCACCACATGAATATATTAAGTAATATTCTTCACCGCTAATGCTATTTGAACCTGTCCTCATTATTTCACTTAATTATATAATCACTCTTTAGATTTACTATTATTAAACGGTATTTTTTTCATAATGATAAAACCAATTTCTTTTAATTCATCATAACACTCATCCACAGGTAACCGACCAAGTGGAAGCCAGAAAATCATTCATAGCGAGTATTGTGTACGTTGTGCTTCCTAACCGCTTGGAAAAATATGACTTCACTCACACATTCGATTACTCACCCTTCTGCTTCGGTATGGCCAAGCCCACACTGAAGCCTCAGTGGCAGAGTTTGTACTACCCGCTGGCTAACGAGGTGTGGGCCGCTGTCATTGCCACTGCCGTCGTGGAGTGTGTGGCTCTCCTCATGGTGAGGCATAGGATAATTAATTCTGAACTGTTTTACAATGATGCATTACATTCGTATTAAAGCAGTGAGCTGCTTAACAGTTATGATTGTATATCAGAGTTTTATGTCTCAAATGAGGGAATCACTATAATCATACACGGTCTTCAGATAATCCGAGTTGGTCTAGCATGGAAGAACCGCCATGGAGGCCTGGATTTTGGGGCTGTGATTCAGGAGGTTATAGGCACCTTGCTTGGCCAAGGTTTCACTGGGAAACTATCCACAAGTCGCTCCAATCGCTTACTTGTTGCACTCTGGTTGGTGTTCGCCTTCATCTTGGGTACAGCTTACCGCGGCAACCTCACTGCCTCTCTCACACTGCCCAAATACCCTCCCCGACCTGAAACTGTGGAAGAACTCGTAAAGCATATAGACAGGTAGGATAAAACACCAAATTGAATTTTCAGAGAAACATTATCTTAGTTTATGTACAGTATATACCACATTATAAAATGGGTCTGTGGAAAATTAATGTATATAAGGTGTCCCAGAAAAAAATTCCTAAAATAACTTTGCTCGGATAAGTACACAACACAGTTTTTTTTTAAATTTCTGTTTGCTATATTTTAATGCCATGAGTGATGAACAACCTAGCTGTTAGAATAAAAGCAATGATTTGTGAGCAAGGGGGTTTACATTGAACATGTGGTGTGATAATAAATTTGCAGGCTTTGGCATTCAGATAAAGCAAACAAAAATGAAAACATTTGTGCAGTGTAATTTTCCCTGCATAGTTATATTGGGACATTTTTCTGGGACACCCTTATATCCTTTGTATCTATGTTCAAATATACTCTATATATATTGTTAAGTTCAAGTCAACAATTCTAAATCAATATACAGTAATACATAAAAGATTGTGATATACTAATTTTGTTTCATTCTAAAACACATTTAGGGCAACAATAGAACCTTATGGGATTTCCTACAAGCAATTCTTCACGAAATCAGAGTCGAAAGTCTTCAGTGCCTTGGGGAAGCTGATGGCTGTTGGGGTTAATATCATTGACGGATACAACGACGCTCTGAAAATGAAGCGAGTTTCCCATTTTTTATTAAAATAATAAATAAAATTGACGAAGTTATAACCTACTGAATGATTTTGAATAAAATCTATAAGATAGAAAGATTTGGCTATAAATATATAACGAAAGTGAGAATGTTTTAGCATAAAATGATAGTAGTTAGATCTAATACTGTGATTATTGAAGTAATATATTAAAGAAAAATAGAAAATCATATATGTGAGCTAAAATTTGAGGAGGAACTATATATATATATATATATATATATATATATATATATATATATATATATATATATATATATATATATTATATATATATATATATATATATATATATATATATATATATATATATATATATATATATATATATATATATATATATGTGTGTGTGTGTGTGTGTGTGTGTTTATTTATTTATTTTACTAAGGTATTAATTAATTTCCCAGGAGAGCACACGTAGGTGGTCGTCAGTACCTTTCACTTAATATTGCACAACATTTTACAAGAATAGACGGATACTCACCACTTTATATTGGACGGGAGATGATTATTCCTTCAGCCACGGCCTGGCCTATCCCCCACGACGCCCCTTACAAGCCAACTCTCGACTGGTACATCATGGCTATCACTGAAGTGAGTGAGCTTGGGAAGTAATCTTACCCTTGTTGTGCTGTTTATATAATCAGTGTGTAAACTTCTCATACTTTACCCCTTTCTCTCTCTCTCTCGCTTAATATAGTTTTCTCAATATTTTATAATATATACATTCTATCAAGAGAATTTGTCTTCTTTTTAAATGTTCTCTTCCAGGCTGGTCTGTATGAGCAGTGGAGGAAAGAACAGTTGTTAGACGTTCAACGTGAGAGTCGTATAAGACAGCGAAAGGAACTGAAAAAAAATCAACAAATTAAAGATCCCATTATAGGAGAGTCTGGCGATAGCAGCATCAAAGCCCTCACCCTCGTACACATGCAAGGGCCTCTACTGCTTCTCCTTCTGGGACTTATTGCTGCTGGAGTCATCTTTGTGATAGAGAAAGTGACAGCGAGGTTCTCTGATAAAATTAAAACACAAAATTGAGAAACTCACAATCATCTACCATTATCTAACATAGTACATCCAGGACCCCACGACAGCCAAATATACGGGATATGGACAAGGGGGCAGAGATATATTTGTGCCGTCACGTATATTATTAATAAGAAATTAATTCAGAGAGAGTTTGTAAGAAATTATTATCTTTACGTAATGAAATAGACCGATGAAAAATATTACTTTAAACTAATAATAACTCGAAATTTAAAGACGTAAGTTATAGATCAGTTCGTCCTCGACAGTTAGGTGATCGCTGGGAGGATTCGATCATCCGGGCTAACAGGCTCATCTTAATGTACGATCTAGTGATTAATTATAATGTCGAAGCATCTTTGATGATACGATTCACAAGGAGTTTTTGACACTAGAAACCAAGTGTTACAGGTAAATACAGAATATATGTGATGTTATTAACAAGTTTGGTCATTTAAAAGAAGATTGACAAGATAATAAAGATATGTAATGTGTCCACTCTGTTGGTGCTCCTGTGTGATGCAATGTTGATATATTTACTTTAAGTCGTTTTGCGTTTGATATAATAATTTTGAATATGGAATATAAATAGTCCTGTAAGGAATAGTTAACGGGTGATGATGACTATAATATAATATATTTAAACGGTTTATCATAATAGAATTATCCCCATTATTTGTATTCAATATATAATATACAAATACATGACTAATACCACACACACAAATGGATAATTTCGTCACAGCATATGCTGCGGCCGATAGACGATAGAAACAGACAGATAGATACTATATTCTATTGAACACGGTTTACATCTCGATTGTCAACGAGTTATCTGACACTCTGAAATTAGTGAACGAATTTCTGAAACTCGTTTATGAAGTGTTTGTCTTTATAGAGATCGTGCACTTCCATCCTCGGATTAACTTCTTCATACACATTACATCTTGCAGATTTTGCCTGAGAAACTGATATGCAAATATTTACCCAGTACTAATAGCATCCATGTTTTCATTTCTTATAAGGTCTATTGTATTATCCGTTTGGTGTATTACTGTTCGTTATAACAGTGATCACAAACGAAAATAGGGGCTTTGAAGCTTACTGAAAAGCCTATTTTTGGTGAGTGAGCAAAGCTAGTGCACTTGCTATTAGACCTCATAAGATATCACTTTTAGGAGGTGACAGGGCCAAATTTTAACACATCCAGACAGGTCTAGTCTGCTACTAGCAGTTGAAGAAAACGGAAAACTTGAGACAATGGGAATCCGAGCATAAGAGCTCCTATTGCGTGCGCCATGTTAGGCATACCTGAGTTTTAAATAAGGGGCCATTCCTTTCCAAGCTCATATTTTTGTGAGATGAAATTGCTAGTGCACTTGCTATACTCCAGAGGAAGGAGGGTGCTAGGATATTAGCGGAGCAGTGAGCACATGCAGGACCATTTAAATTTTATTTATTCTTAGATTAAGCAACATTAATTTGTCTGTGGGTCAAGGGGTGAGACCCATTGCCATGCAGGGTGTGTCTGACCCTTGGTGAGACAGGTATCTTGCTATGAAGCAGGAGGACGATTTCCACTGACCCCCTTCCCGGACCTGTGAGAATGAGTGGGTCCTCAGGAAGGCCAGTGAAGCCGATACACCCAGTGCGTCGCAGGGACGTGGGGCCTTCCCAGGGTCAGCCTCCTCTATAACCTGCTGCAACCTGTTTGCCAGTCCCCTGACTGACAGCAGGCGCCCCAATTGAGGATGAACGAAGAGGTGATGCTGGCCGGTGGTGTGATCTTCCATAGAGGAGAGGCTTTTGAATTGGACAATTTAACAATTACAGTAATAGGTGTGAGGAGAACGACACTGAACCAAGTGTGTTTTGCTGTATTAGGTTACCCTTTGCTGCCACACTTAGTTAAACTCAAATAATATAAATTTATCTTTCATAATTATATATATATATATATATATATATATATATATATATATATATATATATATATATATATATATATATATATATTGTCATATGTCGGCCGACACGGCTGTCTATGATTGACTAATTAGGTGATACCCGAGAACGACCAAGTTTTCTAATGTTTTCATTTACGATGGGTTTTTTTATATCAGTGTTATTTAGTTTTGGTTGTTAAAACATTATGTGAGAGCCACATTATGTTTTATAGGGTATAAGGTGTAAAACTTTTGATGTATTGTATTAGGATTAGTTGGCAACCGAGCCATATTTTTGCGGTGGTGTGATGGTCACGGCTGAGCAGCGTGAACCACCGACTGAACCGGACAGCATGGAGAAAAAGGAACTCCATGCCTGGTATACACACGTCGGCGTGGAGTACAAGATAGCCGCCGAGTTGTGCGTGAAGTAATTGGACATATTTGGACATGAAAACTTGTTCTGTGAATGTAAATAGTGTAATATATGTCATTTTTTCACGACGAGTTTCCTTAAACCTTTCCTCTCTGCCTGAAAGTCCCGTGACAACTGACAATGGTCCCCAGACCCGGGACTCAGACTGAGTGAAGGCATTGGAAGTGCAAGGTGAGGACTGAGTAACAGTAGAGAAAGGAACATAAGGAGTGACGCATTTCAAATCGACTAACAATGGATCTCGGAGAATTGATTCAAACTGGTCGAGACTTGGGGTATGGTGGAATTGAATTGAAAAAGTTTGTGACTCAACAACAATCAATTCTAAGAATCGAAAGACAGCAAGAGAGAGGGGAAAGAAGAAAATAAGAAGAAAGAAGAGAAAAAGAAAGAGAGTATGAGTTAAGGAAAGCAGAACAGGAATTGGAATGCGAGATCAAAATTAAAGAGAAGGAAGCAAAGCTAGAGAAAAGGAAGCAGTGGAAAGAGAGAAGGAACGAGCCGAAAAGGAGAGAGAACGATAACATGAACTTGATGTGCTTCAGCTTTGTCAGGATATCCCCGAACCTAGGCCAAATCTCCCTTATTATTCAAAGCTAAAGTTCCTGAGTTTGAGGAACAAGTTCACGACATATATTGAGAGGTATGAAAGGTATGCAACTAATAGTGAGTGGCCGAAAGATCAGTGGGCAGTTAATTTATGCTCTCTTCTTACTGGTAAAGTTCATGAAGCTTATGTTGCCTTGTCGCCAACTGAAGCAGTGGATTATGAATCGGTGAAAAAGACTATCTTAGAAAGATGCATGCTCACGGACGAAGGTTATCGTTCAAAGTTTCGTGACTCCGTGCCGGACAAATGAGAAAGTGATAGTCAGTTTACGTCTCGCATGGTTCGGTTTCTATAACGGTGGATAGACTTATCGGGAATCGAAAAGTCTTTTAAAGGACTTAAAGACTTGATTCTCCGTGAACAGTTCCAGAGACGGTGTCACTTAGAGTTGCGACTATTTTTGAAAGAGAGAAAACCACCAACAATCAAAGCCATGAGGGAACTGACTGAGATCTACTTAGAAGCACACGGTGGTCCTATGTGGAAGACTTATCAGCCTAGACATCAAAAGGAGGGAATAACACCTTGCCCTACTACAACTGAAGCAACTCCAGATAAGAAGCCATCGCCAGCTTTTCCGACACTACGGGAAAAGGTTTGTTTCCTGTGTCATAAGAAGGGTCATATAGCAAGGGACTGCAGGGTAGCTACGCGAGGACCTCGCCAGGATCGTCAGGAGGGTCAAGACAGTCAAGGTCGAGCCAAGGAAGAAAGAGCGGCGGCTTGCCTGACACAGTCACCCCGGGATCAGACTGTGACTCTGCCATCTGTTGAGGTGGTACCCCTGATTGTTGGTGTGGGATCGATGGAAAAAGACCTGGGGACTACTCGGGGGTATGTCAACGCCCATGAAGTAGAGGTACTCCGCGACACCGGCTGTACAGGTGTGGTGGTCAGGCGCTACGTTCAAGATCATCAGTTGACAGAAGTTTATCTTGACACGCCTTATTTTTCTGGTACTGTGGAGGCTACGTGTATAAATGATGCCATATGTGACATAATCATTGGGAACATTCCTGGAGCTCTACCAGGACTTGTGAAGGTTGCTGAGGCCCCTACACCATCATTGGTAAACACTGGTTCAACCAGGTTTGAGGATATTTCTCCCTCTTCGTCACCAGCAGTGACAGAGAAAGTGCTTCCTAGTCCTTGTGTAGTGCCGGCCACAAAATAGTCATTATGGGGGAAGATTGAGAGTCCTGAACCCGGAGACATCTCTACATCATGGTCATCTTCTGGTGTGAGTATCGTGCAGCGCAGTGTGGTTCCATCTACGGAGGCGGTACCAATAGCGAGAGTGGAACAGTCTGTTTCCGCATTGCTTGGAGTGGATGAGACTATTGCTTCCAGTCGAGGAACAACACCCATACATTTATCAAGGCACACAACCCAGAGCCTGGACTCGATAATTAGAAACCAATCTACAGACGACGTTCACAGAAGAGAGGGCTTCAGCGTCTCTGCTTGTCACCGGAGCAATTCAGACAAGGGCACAACAGCGAAACAGGAAAGAGTTTAAACCATTATGTGTTAGTAAAGTAAAAAATACAGTTATTAACGATTCTGCCATCACAATAGAAGAACAGGAGAGGGATGAATCCCTACAAAGATTAATTAGCAATTCTGTTAATGGGAAAATAAGGCTAGTGAAACTTAAGGGATTGTGGTATAAACTTCAGGCCTGCAAATATGGGGAGGAATTTTTAGCAACTTTTATTACCTAAGGACATACGAGACTATGTACTAACCTTGGCCCACGACGCATTAATGGGTGGTCATTTAGGGATGAAAAAGACTGAGGATAGAGTTTTGAGTTAATTTTACCGGCCAGGAGTTGTTAGACATATTAAAAGATGATGCCGTAGCTGTGATAGGTGTCAAAGGACAATACCTAAAGGGGAAGGTACCTAAGGTACCCCTAGGGAAAATGCCCTTAGTGTTTATCCCTTTTTAGAAAGTTGCTGTTGATCTGGTCGGCCCGATCAGTCCACCCTCTTCCCAGGGGAATAGGTGGATTCTGACTTTGGTGGATTATTCAACAAGGTGGCCAGAGGCCGTAGCTATTCCAGGGATTGAGACAGAAAGGGTTGCAGAGGCTTTGCTAGGCATATTCAGTCGAATTGTGTTCCCCAAGAAATTCTTCGTGATCGGGGCTCATAATTCACCTCAAATTTAATGCAAGAGATATGTAGACTCATAAGTATTAAGCAGTCAATTACCTCGCCTTACCATCCTATGTCCAATGGCTTATGTGAAAAGCTTAACGACACTTTTAAGTCAATGTTGAAGAAGACTTGTCAAGAGCTCCCCTTAAATTGGGACAGATATCTTTCAGCAGTGCTCTTTGCTTATAGAGAGGTACCACAGCCGAGTACAGGATTTTCACCGTTTGAACTACTCTACGGCCGCACAGTTAAGGGCCCGCTGCGTCTCTTGAGAGAGGTCTGGTCTGGAGTTGGTGAGGATCCACAGGTGCACAACACCTATCAGTATGTCATGGAA